ACACACACACACACACACACACACACACACACACACACACGCACACACACACACACACACCCACTCACCACCATACGGTAGATCGCGTCCACTATGTCCAGTAACTCGTCCCTGGTGATAAACCCGTCATTGTCCAGGTCATACAGACGGAACGCCCCTGGGGAACACAGCACAACAGTTGGAGGACATGGAATACAGGAATAAAGGACATAGAATACAGGAATAAAGGACATGGAATACATGAATAAACCACATGGAATACATGAATAAACCACATGGAATACATGAATAAACGACATGGAATACAGGAATAAAGGACATAGAATACAGGAATAAAGGACATGGAATACATGAATAAACCACATGGAATACATGAATAAACCACATGGAATACATGAATAAACGACATGGAATACAGGAATAAAGGACATAGAATACAGGAATAAAGGACATAGAATACATGAATAAAGGACATAGAATACAGGAATAAAGGAATAAAGGACATAGAATACATGAATAAAGGACATGGAATACATGAATAAACCACATGGAATACATGAATAAATGACATGGAATACAGGAATAAAGGACATGGAATACATGAATAAAGGACATGGAATACATGAATAAAGGACATGGAATACATGGATAAACGACATTGTAAAACAGGAATAAACGACATTGAATACATGAACAAACCACATGGACTACATGAATAAACGACATTGAATAAATGAATAAACAACATTGAATACTTGAATAAACGACCTTGAATACATGAATAAACGACCTTGAATACAAGAAAAAATCAGACCTCTTTGATCCTTGAGGGGAAATTTGGGTTACAAAGACAAAGAAAAGTAAGTAGAATCTAGAAACATATTGTAGCCCACAGACATAATACATACACAGAATACCAAACATACACGTAGATATATATTGTAGCCCACAGACATAATACATACACAGAATACAGACATAATACATACACAAAATACAAACATACACGTAGATAGATATTGTAGCCTACAGACATAATACATACACAGAATACCAAACATACACGTAGATAGATATTGTAGCCCACAGACATAATACATACACAGAATACCAAACATACACGTAGATATATATTGTAGCCCACAGACATAATACATACACAGAATACAGACATAATACATACACAAAATACAAACATACACGTAGATAGATATTGTAGCCTACAGACATAATACATACACAGAATACCAAACATACACGTAGATAGATATTGTAGCCCACAGACATAATACATACACAGAATACTAAACATACACGTAGATATATATTGTAGCCCACAGACATAATACATACACAGAATACAGACATAATACATACACAGAATACAAACATACACGTAGATAGATATTGTAGCCCACAGACATAATACAAACACAGAATACCAAACATACACGTAGATATATAAAGTAACACACATAATACACGTAGATATATAAAGTAACACACATAATACACGTAGATATCTAAAGTAACACACATAATACACGTAGATATCTAAAGTAACACACATAATACACGTAGATATCTAAAGTAACACACATA